TACATGTGTTGCCGCCGGAGTGAATTTTGTTTTTATACCTGTGTCGCCGCCGGAATGAAGTTTGTCTTTATGCATGTGTTGCCGTTGTAGTGAAGTTTGTCTTTATACATGTGTTGCAGACGGAGTGAAGTTTGTCTTTATACATGTGTTGCAGACGGAGTGAAGTTTGTCTTTATACATGTGTTGCCGTTGGAGTGAAGTTTGTCTTTATACTTGTGTTGCCGCTGTAGTGAAGTTTGTCTTTATACATGTGTTGCTGCTGTAGTGAGGTTTGTCTTTATACATGTGTTGCCGCTGGAGTAAAGTTTGTCTTTATACATGTGTTGCCGTTGTAGTGAAGTTTGTCTTTATACATGTGTGGCCGCTGTAGTGAGGTTTGTCTTTATACATGTGTTGCCGCCGGAGTAAAGTTTGTCTTTATACATGGGTTGCCGCTGTAGTGAAGTTTGTCTTTATACATTTGTTGCCGCTGTAGTGAAGTTTGACTTTATACATGTGTTGCCGCCGGAGTAAAGTTTGTCTTTATACATGTGTTGCCGCCGGAGTAAAGTTTGTCTTTATACATGTGTTGCCGCCGGAGTGAAGTTTGTCTTTAAACATGTGTTGCAGCCGGAATGAAGTTTGTCTTTATACATGTGTTGCCGTCGGAGTGAAGTTTGTCTTTATACATGTGTTGCCGTTGGAGTGAAGTTTGTCTTTATACTTGTGTTGCCGCTGTAGTGAAGTTTGTCTTTATACATGTGTTGCTGCTGTAGTGAGGTTTGTCTTTATACATGTGTTGCTGCTGTAGTGAGGTTTGTCTTTATACATGTGTTGCCGCCGGAGTGAATTTTGTTTTTATACCTGTGTCGCCGCCGGAATGAAGTTTGTCTTTATGCATGTGTTGCCGTTGTAGTGAAGTTTGTCTTTATACATGTGTCGCCGCCGGAGTGAAGTTTGTCTTTATACATGTGTTGCAGACGGAGTGAAGTTTGTCTTTATACATGTGTTGCCGTTGTAGTGAAGTTTGTCTTTATACATGTGTTGCTGCTGTAGTGAAGTTTGTCTTTATATATGTGTTGCCGCTGTTGTGAAGTTTGTCTTCATACATGTGCTGCCGCCGGAGTGAATTTTGTCTTTATACATGTGTCGCCGCNTCTTTATACATGTGTTGCCGCCGGAGTGAAGTTTGTCTTTAAACATGTGTTGCAGCCGGAATGAAGTTTGTCTTTATACATGTGTTGCCGCTGTAGTGAAGATTGTCTTTATACATGTGTTGTCGCCGGGGTGAAGTTTGTCTTTATACATGTGTTGCCGCCGGTGTGAAGTTTGTCTTTATACATGTGTTGCCGCTGTAGTGAAGTTTGTCTTTATACACGTGTTGCCGCTGTAGTGAAGTTTGTACGCGTTTGTTGATAATGTGATTTAGTTTGTCTATGTGAGTTGACACTCTTTGTATTTCGCCGTTATGAGTTGATGCTGTGTATTATATTTGTGTGTCTTCCTGCCGTATGATATTCCGTTCCAGTGTTTTTAGCTTACAATGTATCAAGTGTGTTGTATTCACACGGTGCTACACATTGCATTCCATTGTAGTGTATTTATGCTGTGTTATATTTTTTCTTTATTTATCTTTTATCTTACTGATCTAAAATATTGCCGGTTCTGTGAACGTATTTTGATTATACTGATATTCTTAGTTATGCCATGCGCTTATTTGGGTATAACGAAAATGAACATATCAGTACAAGCAGGTTTATGTACAACATTAACTATAGCAGTTCAGCCTAATGTATGTATTACACTGACTACATATCAGCACAAGTTTTACCCTTACTTACTATAGTATTGCGGTAATAGATTGAATGTACTCCTGAGCGTAAAACAATAGTGTCTGAGGCACCCGAGACAATACATATGGGTGTTAGCACTTATCGAGATCACTCATGTGTCAATTTCAATAAGTAACTAGAGATAGTAACACATTTACAGATTGAGATCTTGAAGACTTACAATTTACTAGCGAACATCATCCGTCTGGTTTACAAGTACCTCACATCAACTATTTTGGTCCTCAACTCTCGGTTTTCCGACAAAAGACATAATGGTTTTTTTTTATAGTTATTGTACTTAACCCTAAGCATTTCGACATAGGGAGATATTTATATGAACTGTACTTACCCTTCCCTATCCTACGACGGTCCTATCCTAAGACGGTCCTATCCTATGACGGCCCTATCCTACGACGGTCCTATCCCATGACGGCCCTACCCTATGATGGTCCTATCCTACGACGGTCTTATCCTATGAAGGTCCTATCCTATGACGGCCCTACCCTATGACGGTCCTATCCTATCATATGACGGTCCTATCCTATCCTATCCTATGACGGCCCTACCCTATGATGGTCCTATCCTAAGACGGTCCTATCCTAAGACGGTCCTATCCCATGACGGTCCTATCCCATGACGGCCCTACCCTTTGACGGTCCTATCCTATCCTATGACGGCCCTATCCTACGACGGTCCTATCCTATGACAGCCCTACCCTATGACGGTTCCATCCTATCCTATGACGGCCCTATCCTATGACGGTCCTATCATATCCTATGACGGCCCTATCCTATGACGGTCCTATCCTATGACGGCCCTATCCTATGACGATGTTCACTGGTTACCGGATTACTCAATGGCCGCTTGATAATCTCCCCTTCATTTCGAGCCTTGTGCTATTGCCAGTCTAACCAATACCCTATCCTTCACCTTTTGATCATTGAACATGAAACTTTGTTTTTCAAGTCTAGAAATGATAGGACATAAGTTTAATTCTACTCAGTTGGTTGGATGTAGTTAAGGAATTTATTCATCAATTCTTTTATTTATAGCAGAGACATATCGACACACGTACTGTGTGCATACTTATTGTCTTGCCCTTAACGATCCTTTATTCGTCCGATAAAATATTTTATATAAATGGGAATTGACATTCGTGTACCTTTCTTTAAAAAGCGTAAGGGAAAACAGTTTTGTAAATAAAGATCGTTTTGGTTTATTTTGTGATAAAAACAAGAACATTTAATTTGCTTCATATTGTGTGATATGGAGTCAGAATCATGATAAATCGGAAATATGAAATCTAAAATCAGCCGAATCGATAGGAATAGTTGGTTATATGACATGTGTAATATAACATACCTTTACTCTACAAATCAAATTACATCCCAACAATGTCTGTCCAACAGCCCAACATTATCACATTGATAGATATTCAGTTTTTGTTAAGCTGAGCCATCTACAAACGCCTTTGAAAGTACGATGAAATCGATCCCTTTTCTTTATCAATCACGAATAAAATTGCACATATTAACTCGGCATTCACCAGTTTTTGTCCTTGTGCCAGTTTGATAGTTGGCACTTGTTACTGAGACGGCGAACACCTGTCGTGTCGTGCTGCCTCACTGACCCGGAGTGTGTGTAACAAATTAGTGGGTGTGGCTAAAACAGTTTTACAATTTAGAAAATGTTCTTGTCCTGTTTTCTTGCTTTGTGTTGCGCTTTAGATTTGGCCGATATCGTATATATTTGTTTTAAAGTCTGTAAGATTCACATTTCATCAGCACGGGTACCAAAGACAATAGTTTTTAAGCGAAACAACAGTTTTTTGACAATGTACCGTGAACAAGTATGACGTTGCTTTAAATGTTCTTCGGGCTTAAATACCGAGAAAACGTAAACTTGCTGCGAGTATGTGATTAACAATGCTACCAAACGGTCAGGTTTATCTCCAGTGTCGGGTCGCATTGTTGTACATACATTTTTACAAAGAATTCCCGAGATTCCGACATCGCCGAGTCGATTTCCATCTGTCTACATGGCGTCTAGATTGTCGTCGATAGCACTCAAATATATGGCTCCCTTCTACGCTTGTCTTTGTTTGAGGTCTTAAAAACATCTCGCCAGGCAAAAAGGCATGTTATTTATTAATACTATATAAATAACATTTTAGACAAATTGAGAAACTGGGCACATTTGTATAACTGTAAAATTTTACTTTTTCTGATCTATGTGCCTCTAAAAACTATATTAATAATGTGATAAACCAGATAAAATGAGTTTACTATCTGGACCCTTGCTACTGACGCACAGAGCTTTAACGCTAGTACAGTATGCACAGAGCTTTCAACATTTAACATATAATAATTTTATGAAGGAATATCGCCTCTAGGAAGGAATGCGTTCATATCTCTGAGCTACCGATTGACAGAAAATCCTGCTGAGACTTTCATTTGACCAAAGAACACATTTTATATTCTATTTCGCGCGGTAAAATACAACAAATTTCACGTTGCACGGTAAAATACAACACACTTCATCCGATGTTTTGCAATTTTATGTCGCGCATTAAAAAATAACACATCGTGCATTTTACGATGTTTTGTAAATCAATGAAATGCGGAAAATACAACAAACCACGAAATGTCCGATATTTTGTAATTTTATGTCGGTTTTCTTACAAATTTTACATAATTTACAAAATATGTATGCGCCGTCAATTTTGTCTTCGTATTTACAAAATGAAATAGAGAGAAAATAAACAAAGTTATAATACCCGAACAGTTTTCAACAAACCTGTTTTACAATTTCAGTACTAATATAATTTTAAATTGACATTTCACGGTTTCTGAAGCAATGTGAGTATGATTCCGTGCACAAAGGTAAGGTGATCAGTAAATGCAGCCAGTTAAGTTTCCAATGCAATTAAACACTGAAGTGTCGTAAAACATACTAGGCGTTGAAAGGGATCATCAATTTATTTTGTCATCAAACTTTGGAATTGACATACATTGCACAATAATGACGATTAAGACGATTGAGATAAAGAAATAAAACACACCTACCACACACACATCCTCCCGAAGCAGCACCAAATTATATCTAGCAGGAATCCTACCTTCCCAGAGTGCAATCCACAAATCATCAGTTAGCTGTTATACAGGAAAACTTGACGTTTTAAACATTTGAAATTATATCCACTTATTGCAGTTATTTACAAAACAAATTACTGTGTATTGATAAGTGTGCAATAAATATTAAATTGAATTGAACATAGATTTATTTCGTCAACATATCAAAGATAGGATATGAAAGTCCCCATTATTCTGACATTACTTTGAAGGAACATAGTCCCGATTAACAAGGTCCCTGTCTTAGTCAAACCGATATAATATCTATAGACGTCAAAAACGTCACTATGCTTCCTTATAATCCTTTATTAATATTCCTTTGTCTAATTTGATCACCTATATATTGGTTTAAAAACGGCTCTACTCAGTTATTATGCACATGTCCGCGCTCGCCAAATCTGGTATTTTTTTCACAGATTAACATCCCAAATACCTCGATCGCACGTGACTGACTTACCCCTCCCAATACTTAATTAGATACATGTTAAAGTGTTCAATAAAGTAATTGCACGTGGTAAAAACTATAAAAGAATAAAAAAAAAAAAAAATACTAGTTTTCAGTTTTTTTTCGAAATATTTAATCTTCATTTAAGTATCATGTTATTTAAGATAAACAGAAAAAATATTGGACAGTTGTTTTCATGGATTAGCTTCCACAATACCACCTAACATCCTGTCGACCAGTGCATTATCCCATATAACCTGTAAGATACAGACTACCGAAAGTCACTTGTATTTAGCAATATAGTTGTGTTCGCATTAATTCACAAAAAAGACGAAACGTGTGTCGAGAAAACAGGTGTCTTATAAGTTAAGGTTGTCTTGTTATAAGAACACCTGCCCAGTTCAGTATTTACAGGATTTAAAGGATAACAATGGTGACTACTGTAAAGCTCCACTTTTGTTTGTACGTGTTGTAGCACTAGTATTAGACATTTTACTTCCGACACTCGCTCTGGTCCTATTTCAATGACTGGGTATGTGTATGTAGAGACGTTCCTTAGAACGCTACGTAAACGTAGACCAGATGATGTATCTATGATGTAGGAGCCACACCCCTCTGTTGCCTGACCCTTCACCTTCCAGATGAGGCGATGACGTCACGACATGCTTTAATCTCACAAACATGATAAGTAAATCAAACGATTAAACAAACATTGTTCCTACCCCTATAGGACATTATTTCTTCTATTTCCCATTGATTGAAGAATTCCCGTATAACACCATCTTCAATCGTTAGTACCAAACCGTGTCACTGTATTATAAGAAACGTCTTCCCACACGAAGCAAAGTCCCAAATAGAACTATGAAAGTTTTATACTAAAACAACTATGTGAAAAAACCAATCACATCATCTTTCTATCAATAGTCAGTGGGGTATTTCATTTACACGCTTCACTTCACATACTCTTCACAGCATATCTTCATATCAATACATCGTCAACAATTCCACAAGATATATATATCTATTCAACATTCATTTCTTCCTTACATTATTTAAATACAAAGAATCAAAATATACATACATTTAGGAACATAAATAAGACATGACGCCCTACAAACAAATGCAGTATGGGTCCATGCTTTGGTCTGTGCCATATTGGGATACTTCACAAAAGAACTCCAGAGAGCGTCTGTTAACTACTACACATCGTTGCCGTGACAACACCGTCTCAGAGTGCGTCGGTCAGCTACTACATGTATATCGCTACCGTGACAACACCGTCTTAGAAAGCGTCTGTTTGCTACTACATCACCGCCCAGACGACACCGTCTTAGAGACCGTCTGTTAGCTACTACATCACCGCCCAGACGATACCGTCTTAGAAAGCGTCTGTTAGCTACTACATCACCGCCCAGACGACACCGTCTTAGAGACCGTCTGTTAGCTACTACATCACCGCCCAGACGACACCGTCTTAGAAAGCGTCTGTTAGCTACTACATCACCGCCCAGACGATACCGTCTTAGAGAGCGTCTGTTAGCTACTACATCACTGCCCATAACGTATCAACCAGCAAGCTTGTCTCACATTGTCCAGTGTTGGTGTCAGCTTCATTGCAGTAAACACAGTGTTAGTCAGGAAGTTATATTGTATAGGATGTGTAACAAAGGAACAGATACAAATTTGGCAGATCGTTCAGTAGCATCCCTATTTATACACCCTAACGAAATGTTCGATGAGAGCACAACATGACATATCTTTCAAAAACCAAACATACCGGTCATGTGATCGCCTGACATGGTGTTTACTGGCACCATTTGGCTTGTAAACTCACGAATACGGGTCTTATCCATACACTTAGTATTCATACACTTAGTATATCCCTCAAAACAAGTACATCAGAATCCATCATGACGTTCTCCAAGAAACATTGACTCCTTTAAATAATAGCCGACACGCGCAGAATATGGCCCCTTTTTCTTTACGTTACATCCAAAATCACGAGTACAAGTAAGTTGAAATAACCAAGTATTCCAACGTTGGCATCAGCAAATATATCTTATCATGAAAAAATATAAGCAATAATATAAAGTTTTGAATCAATGACACCCACAACTTGCAGCGACCATGTCATCATATTGTTTTAAAATAACGTTTTCATCGTCATCAAAATACAGCAAACTGATAGAGTATAACTTGTTAGGAACACAGCACGGCGTAGAAACGTCCTTCCCAACTTTAAGTGCATGAACAATGCTCTGAACAGTTGCATGGTTCGTTGGTTTTTGACTCTGACCTAGGGGGAAGGGACACGCCCCCTTGCAGTGATAGGCGTTGTAGCCCTTGGGAGATATTATCCACCCTGACCAGCCAATCTCGTCAAAGTCTACGTACATTTGGTGCCGAGCACAGTTCCTCCGCTGACGTCGATATGGACGGAAATAATCCAGTGCTCTTTTGTCTTTTCCTTTCTTTTTGTTACGTTTTCGTTTTTGTCGCCTTCTGCGTTTTTCTTCTCGCCTCCTTTCTTTTCTTAGTCGTTTTTCTTCTTTCGTTAGTTTTTTCTTTATCTTTACCAGTCCAGAGGAACTAGATGTTGTATCACTTCCAGGGTCCTCTCCAACACTCCTCCTCCTCCTCCGACGGGTTTGTTCAGTCGTACCCAATAGCTTTTGCAAGTGTTTGTTTTTAAGCTGATCTTCTTCTCGCTCCTTTTCATTCAAAAGTCGGATAGCTTGACGAAAATCTTTTCCTTTGAACTGTCGCATCCTCTGTCTCTGTTTCTTTAAGATATCCTTTTTAATTTGCATATAATCTGGAAAATAGGATATGAAGATGTAATATAAAACCGTGCGATGTTTCGTCATTCTGATACCCTGACTTATCGATAATTTCAAATGCCACCTATTCACTTACGGAAACTATCGCAGGGGGGAATTCGTGTTATGCATATGCATGTCGTTTTCGTGGCTTCACTTTAGAATGCAGTGTAGCATAGATGAACGTTCACTCGTTGTTAACATATTTATTCAAAGGAGTTCTCATATAAAATCATGTCCTTATCAAGACTCATCTTGTGAAGATATCCTTAAAATTAAACTGGAAAGCGTATGCCGTTTATATTTTTGATCCTAGCTTTGGGGAAGGAGCAGTGTCTGATAAAGCCTCGTCATTGTTGAGAACGTCACCGTCGACCCCATTGATAAGTTGTGAAGGTCCATCCATCACGGACACCATGGTTACCGAGGGTTTCAAGGGATAGCATCAGTCCTATGTTAAACCATTTACATATCTTAATTGAACTATCTTAAAACATCATATTTACTAGACATGGCAGATCTTAGCGAGGATGCATGTCTACAGAAATCGATTGGACCTATATAGTACTACTAGTATTCAACTCCACGTGCTAGTAAATGTCACGGTCGGAAATATTGAACAGATGACCATACAAAGGTATATCAATGTCATCAAACCGCATGTCCATATACTCACTTTAAATTAAAAGAAATATTTTCTGTTTTTATCAAGTTAAAAGATAGTTAAATCGCGAATGGTGGTATTTGAAGTCAATCAGAAATGGTACTGTTAGTATTCAGTCAGGAACTGTGGTATTTGCATTCCATTTAGCGCGTGTAAGATATGGGTATATATTTCTATATTTCATCCCGTGTCTCTGTATACGTATCACCGTAGCATTACCCCAAAGAAGAAGATAATCATTTGATGTTAATTAGATCAGTTTTACACTTGCAACTTAACGCCCATTCCAAGGGTCCGTATAAGCCTAGACTATTACAAGCGTCTTGTGATAGGGTGATTGAGAGTCTTGGCATTAACGTAGATTGCCACCTACATATCAGTGTGCTGCGATATGACGGTGGAGGCGACAGCAGAGATGGACCGGTAGATGCCAAGTGTACACGACTGTCTATCTCCTACGTATATTACGAAAAACTATAATGTGCTTTACATTAATATCGTGTCATAAAGTAGCTGCCCCGCCGGGCTCTAGATAGCCAGTGTATAAACTGTTTGACCCCCTGCGTGTTCACGTCAGAGAAAATTAATCCGCACAAGTTATAAGTTATACGAGTAAAATAGAGGTATTTTCTTGAAGCTTTGAAGACGATTTATGTCTGTATTATCAGCTTCTAGAATAGAATGTGGAAACGTTAGAATTTCGATTTGTTATCAAGTAAAATTTAACAAATGACAGAAAAAGCATTATATCGCTTATTATTTTTCTTCGTTAGAGGAGAAAAAATTTCTTATGATCTTGGTATATTGGCGCGTGAATCGAATTCCCCTGGCTTGTTGTCATGTGGATGTAATACAGTTTTACGACTCGATGGTTGGTGCAAAACGATAGTACTCGTGATGGAATATGCAAATCGAGAGAGAGGTGTCTGCACAATGTCGACTAGGCTCTGTAACATAATCAATTACAAATTGCGTGCAAATGTATATTTTACTTCCTAAATATCGCCTTTGATGCCAAGCGGCAGTCTCAAAAGCTTTAGTTTATGGCGTCGAGAGAGTGTTCCCCCTGATGGGCGGACCGATAAGTCCGGCAGCCATTCAAGATTGCATTGCATGTCTACGGAAAACAATGTTCTGGTGTGAGACAGGCACATGTAAATTGGAATACGTCGATATAAATATTATTTTCCTGTCGCTTTAAATTTTGCATTGTGCCAAAATCATATTGTTCGACTGAAAAATCAGCATTTGAAGATTTGATTGGGTTATCCATTATGTTTGGGTGAGAGCAGAATTAGAGTTGGCAGTTCGCATCCTTACACGGTGTCTAGGGGCCCAATTGTGGTAAAGAATTGATAACAATACGACAAAGGCAGTTCAGATCATACCATCATGAACGAATTTTAGACTCCTGCACGGCATAATTTAATTGATATTTTATGTGAGAATAGGCTTTGTACTACCTTGGCTAGGATAGTGGATTTTCATTTCGTTACGGTATGTTAAGTTTTTGGTGCATGCCGACATTTATGGATATACACAATTATATAAGATATACTACAATTTTGAACACATCCGTTCATTTGTGCTTTAATCATATCACAAGTGCCACAGGTATGTATGATAAATCCATGACTTAGTATATAGCCTAATTAGGATACAGCACTTATGGCATTGCGGGTTCATAATTGTATCTTACATTTTGTTGTGTATGAAATATCCACGATTAAAGACAGTTTAGCGTTGTAGCTGGAATTTATTCTGGCTCGATTTATACAAAAACAAGTTTTGCGATATTAAAACATATTTTTTTGTAGAACTTTTCCCTTTCCCTCTATTTCTAGATTTTCGCAACAATGTGGGAATGGACTTTCATTTGGTGCGGGAAAATGGTAATTTTATGTCTCTGCGTCGATTACTGATTTTTAAAAACGTGCTTCCTTACTTTGAATTGTTTTTTTCTTGTGATTATATTTGATAAGATTTATTGTATTGTTCAACATATTTTTCTCTTTGCAATCAAACTTGTTTCAAGGTCGAGCCTGTGATACTTACTCTCATCCGTAGGTGAGATGTAGCTGGGGTGACGATTCATTCCGTCGTCTGTGTACGCCACAAGGATAGGCTGTTTGCTCTCGTGGTGCTCTTTTCGCTGAGCGAAGCGGACATAACTTCCATTGACATGTCTTCCACTGGGGGAAGTAGTTGTTACTAAAAAACCTGAAATGTCAAAATCTGTTTGTCAGTAATTTTGTATATATATATTATACTAGAGAATGGCTTTGGTAGCAGCTATTGTGAGTACCTACTGAAGTTTGATAACGTCTTCCCTTTTGTTAATAAATAACAAAAACCGCGGTAACACATCTCTATTGTTATAGTGTTGGCCCCTCCCCTCCTCTAGATTAACGTTTACAAATAACAAAAACCGCGGTTATACATCTCTATTGTTATAGTGTTAGTCCCTCCCCTGGATTAACGTCAACACATAACAAAAACCGCGCTAATACATCTCTATTGTTATAGTGTTGGTCCCTCCCCTGGATTAACGTCAACACATAACAAAAACCGCGGTAATACATCTCTATTGTTATAGTGTTGGTCCCTCCCCTGGATTAACGTTAACAAATAACAAAAACCGCGGTTATACATCTCTATTGTTATAGTGTTGGTCCCTCCCCTGGATTAACGT